TAGATTCAGGTTGATTTCTATCCTTGGGGAATAGCTCAATAGATTTATTTCCTGCGACAATACCAAATATGATACGTGAGATATAAATCGAACAATACAGTATTATTTAAATTCTAAGGGTTTACAAGGTCAGTGGTTTTACCATTAATTATATAATACCTTAGTTCAATCGTCCTCATGTTTGATTCTCTCTCTCTCTCTCTCTCTCTCTCTCTCTCTCTCTATATATATATATATATATATATATATATATATATATATATATATATTAGGTAACTTGCCTAACTTAAGTTAACAAGCGCTTAAACAGTTGGGCGAACAAAGCCCAAAAAACTTGGCAAAAGGGATATTCTAAATGATTTTGAAAACTTTGAAACTGTTTCCAACGGTCACAAAATTATTGTTCTAGTTATTCTGCATGAAGCGGATGCAGCTGTTATTAACTTCAAGCTAGAATAGATGCTACCTGGATGTCACGTAATTGATGAGTCACTCTAGCCAGACACAAATGAATAATGAAACATGCCGCTTCCCATGGTTATAAGAAGCTTATCTTCGGATTTGTTCCAAGACACAGATGTATTTGTTAATAACGTCGTGTTCATTCGTAAATAGAGCTGAGACGCATCTGTGCGTTTTATAAGAAGTGATTTTTATTTTTTTAGTCTGAACGACACAAATTTGCAATTTCAAAAATATAAATATATAAATAAATAAATAAAAAATAAATAAACAATTAAAAATCAGAAATCGTCAAGTTATCGTACCCACAGGACTACGCCTTCATGTATGAAACGAACATATACTTATTATTTGGCGTGGTAATTATTATATATATTTTATTTATTTAATTTATATTTAATGAAATACGATCTGCCTAAAGCATGTTCATTTGTAACATTTCCACATTTACGGACCGTATCATATCAAGCATTGGTGGTCGAGGAGATTAGAAATACACAGGTGCTCAGCGTGTAGCTTATTGAAATTAAATATAAATTTCAAGCGACTATGGACTAGCACGCGAGTTTATAGATAAGATATTGAAGGTATATTTATGGCCCCATTCAGAATGAAGGACTCAGTAGTCCGAGGGTCAAATATGGCTACCCACTACAAAGCGTGCAGTCTGATCCGCTTATAGTCATTAAATAGATTTCTCGTTGGAAAGAAGTGGCAGATTTCTATTTCTGAAAAAAAAATCACAACAATGGTTTCCTCTTGAAATTGTAATTTTAACTGTCTGAATCTAAGTTCTAAAACAGTACCAAATGACACCGTTCGGCTTCTAAAATACGAAAAAAGGTTTCGGCCCTTCAGCAGGCCTAAAACCCCAAGACAAAGGGGGTGGAGGTGGGAAGGGTTGGCTTGGCATCCGCGGCCTGTCATTCCTGAAAACAAGACCCCATTTAAATAATCCTGGATTCGCCCCTGTGAAAGTATCCAAGTTTGTCGGCCATATTTTACCCTCGGAATACTTATTCCCCTATTCTGAATGGGGCCTTAGATGGCAATACATGACACTTAACAAGACATGACCCCGGGATCGATGACAAAATAATAATGGACAGAGTGCTTATTTTATTATTAATACAATATATGCTATTTATTAATTGACCCCAAACACAATGCATTGGTTGGTCAAATCGATAAGACAATTTACGAACGTTAGTTCACATTAATGCTTTATCATGTTTGGGTTTGAAAATAATGTTCACGTTCGTATTTTTATTTCCCTTTTGAATTTAATTAGCCCTAGCTGTGCCTATAAAATAGAGAGCCACCAGTCTTTCCTAGTGTGGTATTCATTAACGCACGCAATTGCTGCTATGTTAATTGGGGAAGGAAGATTTTTTTTCACTCATCCCTTTGACAGCTGGACAAGAGCTAAGTTGAACATAATTCAAGTGTATCTATTTTTTACTTTTTAAATTATCAAACTACCTTACTCAATATCGAATAAACATCATATATATATATATATATATATATATATATATATATATATATATATATATATATATATATATATATATATATATCGCCTCGGCGCTTTCTGAGAGCATTCCTTGTTTATAAGTTTTGTTTAACCTATATCCTGTTACATGTTATATCACGAAAAAAATATATGTTTTTCAATTTTTAACCGGCATTGTCAAAAAAAAAAAAAAAAAGGGCTCAAGCTGTTTAATTACACATAGGAGAGCGGTCACCTGTAAATGTGCTTGAGGAGCCGGGAGACTCAGCACATCTGATGCAACCTACATTTGCATAAGTGATAACTTTTAGGTTTAGGGATACACCCATTAGTTTGGACGTTTCATGTCATTTAACTCAGTGTCTTCCGTAGGAAGAACACATAGTATATTCTTTCTTTTTGATCAGTTGTTTTCAGTAATGTTACTTCGAATTTATACTTTGAGGAATGGCAGAAATGTTTCAAGCTTCTTGTGGATTCCTACGTGAAATAAAACCAAGCTCTGTATAGCCCTTGCGTGCACTATGAAGTAAAAAAACAAATGTATGTATATAATTTCAATTTGGACTTTAACGCCAACGCCTTCAGGACCTCGACATAAACAGAATATATTGTATTTTTGCGATTTTTAAAGGAGAGTAAACACGTAATCAAGGCGGAAAAGTAAAAATCCCTAAAATTATGTTTTGGGGTTTTACATGGGTTGACATTGATCAAAAACGAATCTTGCAATGGCTATGTTTTTCAGCATAGACCAAAGAATATGTATTTTGATGAGTTATTCAGCCTGCACATTCTGGCGAATGAGCCATGCCTCCGTTGTTAAGGGTCGTTGCCGTGAGGGGGCGGCCCAAAGTGAAAGAGCTTTAAGCCGATTGCATGTGCGGTAAGAGGCCGTAAGTATTACATCAGCTGAGCAGGAAGAAATCAATAGAGGGTACTGGAGGGTACAGGGGTCGTACGATCCAAAAATCCGTGCGTCCGGTTTTGACCGTGGCTTCAGCCAGGGAAAAAAGTTCGTGTTAAAAGTTCCTGGACGAGTTCGTTGTTGCGATGATCCCGGCTTCTAACCCTTTTATTTCGTTACCATGGTTTGATGATGGCTTCGAGTTTTTTTTTTTTTTCAACTGTACACGCTTTCGACTGGCCAGTCACCCTCCACAGGCATGCGTTTCCTCTTACAGTAATTAAACGCATTAAAAATATATATATATATATTCTAGGAAAAGAAATTTACATCTTCGTGGTTCAAAGAAGTACTTTCTTTTGTGACTTACATATATTAGATGATCATATAGCATGTGTCAAAGATAACAGACATGCTTAATAGTAGCGTACACTTCTCGTTAGTACACTTTTCGTTCTTTTTAAAGTCATGAATATAAACAAATTTTTTATAAACACATTTTATCTTTTTGCCTTTTTTTCGCTTTTTCCTCCGTACATACATTTTAGAAGAGCGGGGATTTTGTTTGTTTCACTTATTACAGTTGTAAGAGCGGGGAGTGGTGTTCGGGGACTCCAAATGTTTCAATTACCTCCGTCCTAAGCGTAGGACAGAAGTAATTGAACATTTGGAGTCCCCGAACACCACTACCCGATACCACTCCCTCTCACGACCCCTCCCTCTTGGGGTCCTGGCAGTCTTGTACATATTAAAATATTACCGCACTGTCCTGAGGGCACTACGAAGATCAGTGCCCATGCAGTGAGAGAAAGCTCGGATCATGTTCGTGCTGTATTTTTCTAACTTGGCATCATATCTCGTAGTCCCCTCAAACCTCAAATTTGTGCAATATTTGTTTAGTTATGGCCAGAGCAACTCCACAGTCAAAAAAAAAAAAAAAAAAAAAAAAAAAAAAAAAAAAAAAAAAAAAAGGAAAAGACTACTGGAAACAAAACTTGTTCTGCTCGCGTACGCTTTTGTTTAGCTAAATTTCATTGCTTAGCAAAATAATAAAGAAAATTGGCATATTCAAGTCTCATTTGGCTTTATTTCAAATTGTATTTTAGAGTAGTACCTTTAACAGACAAAGTCTTATCTTTATAGTTCTTGCTATATGCCATATTTATTATATGCCTGTAAACATTATTCACAA